TACTCTATAGCTGTTGGATGAAATGTTTGTTAAATATCTATTAGATCCATTTGATCTATAGTGTAGACTGTGTCCAATGTTACTTTGTTGATTTTCTGTCTGGGAGTTCTGTCTAATGCTGAAAGTGGGGTGTTGAAATCTTCAGCTGTTATTGCATTGAGGCCTGTCTTTGTCTTTAGGTCTAATAATATTTGCTTAATATATCTGGATGTTCTAGTGTTGGGTGCATATCTGTTTATAATCATTATATCTTCTTGCTCAATGGACCCATTTATCATTTTCTTTGTCTCTTCTTAGTTTTTGTCTTGACCTCTGTTTTGTCTGATGTAAGTACTGCTCTTGCTACTCCTGCTGTTTTTTGGTTTCCATTGGCAGGGAATATCTGTTTCCATCTCTTTATTTTCAGTCTGTATATCTTTATAGGTGAAGTGTGTTTCTTTTAGGCAACAGATCATTGGGTCTTGTTTTTTCATTTATTCAGACACTCTATATCTTGATTGAAAAGTTTAGTTGATTTACTTTCGAAGTTATTATTACTGATAAGTAGGGACTTACTCCTGCCATTTCGTTATTTTTCTGGTTGTTTTGCTGTCTTCTTTTTCTTCCTTCCTGTCTTCCTTTCTGTGAAGCTGATTTTCTCTGGTGGCATGCTCTAATTTCTTGCTTTTTTTGTATGTGTATCAATTGTATGTTTTTAGATTTGAGATTACCATGAGGCCTGCAAATAATATTTTATAACCCATTATTTTAAATTGATGACAACACTGATTGCATAAACAACCATGCAAAAAGAAAATAAATACTTTACACTTTCACTTTATCCCCCTGCTTTTTAACTTTTTGTTACTTTTTTTTTTTTTTGAGACAGAGTTTCACTCTCGTTGCGCAGGCTGGAGTGCAATGGCAAGACCTCAGCTCATTACAACCTCCGCCTCCTGGGGTCAAGCGATTCTCATGCCTCAGCCTCCTAAGTAGCTGGGATTACAGGCATGCACCACCATGCCCAGCTAATTTTGTATTTATAGTAGAGATAGGATTTCTCCATGTTGGTCAGGCTGGTCTCAAATTCCCAACCTCAGGTGATCTGCCCACCTCAGCCTCCCAAAGTGCCGGGATTACAGGCATGAGCCACCGCGCCTGGCCTCATTGTTACTTTGTTTTTTTTGTTGTTGTTGTTGAGTCAGAGTTTTGCTCTTGTTACCCAGACTGGAGTGTAATGGCGCTATCTCAGCCCACCACCACCTCTGCCTCCTGGGTTCAAGCGATTCTCCTGCCTCAGCCTCCTGAGTAGCTGGGATTACATGCATGTGCCACTATGCCCGGCTAATTTTTTGTATTTTTAATAGAGATGGGGTTTCTCCATGTTGGTCAGGCGGGTCTCGAACTCCCAACCTCAAGTGATCTGCCTGCCTCGGCCTCCCAAAGTGCTGGGATTACAGGCCTGAGCCACCGCTCCCAACTGTACTTTTTATATCTTATTTTATTGCCTGTCTTGAAAAGTTGTAGTTATTATTTTATTTATTTTTAGTTATTTTTGATTGGTTCCTTGTTTGGCCTTTCTACTTAAGTCAAGAGAAGTTTATATACAGCAATTACAGTGTGATATTATTCTGTGTTTTTCTGTGTGCTTACTGTTACCAGTGAGTTTTGTACCTTCAGATGATTTCTTTGTTCTCATTAACATCCTTTTCTTTCAGATTGAAGAACTACCTTTCACATTTCTTATAGGACAGGTCTGGTGTTGATGCAATCCCTCAGTTTTTGTTTATCTGAGAAGGTCTTTATTTCTCCTTCATGCTTAAAGGATATTTTCAGTGAATATACTATTCTAGGGTAAAAATAATTTTTTCCTATCAGTGCTGCAAATATTTCATACCAGTCTCTCTTGGCCTGTAAGATTTCCACTGAAAAATCTGCCACCTGAGACAGAGTCTTGCTCTCTTACCCCAGCTGGAATGCAGTGGTGTGATCTTGGCTCACTGCAACTTCTGCCTCTCAGGTTCAAGTGATTCTTGTGGTTTAGGCTCCCGAGCAGCTGGAATTACAGCTGTGTGCCACCACATCTGGCTAATTTTTATATTTTTAGGTGAGATGAGGTTTTTCCATGTTGGCCAGACTGGTCTTGAAATCCTGGTCTCAAGTGATCTGCCCACCTCTGCCTCCCAAAGTGCTGAGATTACAGGTGCGAGCCACTACGCCTGGCCAGGATCATTTCTTTGTACTTGACCTTTGGTAGTTTGATTATTAAATGCCTTGAGGTAGTCTGACGTGAGTTAAATCTGCTTGGTGTTCTATAACCTTTTTGCACTTGAATGTTGAAATATTTCTGATAGTATTCCTTTGAATAAACTGTCTACCCTTATCTCTTTCTCTGCCTCCTCTTTAAGGCCAATAAAACTCCTATATTTGCCCTTTTGAGGCTGTTTTCTAGATCTTGTAAGCATGCTTTCATTGTTTTTCATTCTCTTTCCTTTGCGTCCTCTGTATTTTCAAATAGCCTGTCTTCAAGCTCAGTAATTCTTTCTTCTGCTTGATCAGTTCTGCTATTAACAGACTCTGATGCATTCGTCAGCATGTCCATTCCATTTTTTAGCTCTAGAATTTCTGCTTGATTCTTTCTAATTATTTTGATCTCTTTGTTAAATTTATCTGATAGAATTCTGAATTCCTTCTCTGTGTTATCTTGAATTTCTTTGAGTTTCCTCAACACAGCTGTTTTGAATTCTGTATCTGAAGGGTCATATATCTCTGGTTCTCCGGGATTGGAACCTGAAACCTTATTTAATTCATTTGGTTAGGTCATGTTTTCCTGGGTGGTGGTGATGTGTGTAGATGTTTGTTGGTGTCGGAGCATTGAAGAGTTAGAAAGTTATTGTAATCTTCATATTCTGGGCTTGTTTGTGCATGTCCTTCTTTGGAAAGCTTTCCAGGTATTCCACGGGACTTGGGCCCAAAGTCTAGTAATTCTGTGATTTTTGCAGACTCTTAAAAGTACCACCTTGGTGGTCTTGGATAAGATCCGGAAGAATTCTCTAGATTACCAGGCAGAGACTCTTGTTCTTTTCCCTTGCTTTCTTCCAAACAAATGGTCTCTATCTGTGTGCTGAGCCACCTGGAACTGGAGGTGTGGTGATGCAAGTACCCTTATGGGCATCACCATGGAACTGTGCTGGGTCAAGCCTGAAGCCAACATGGCACTGGGCCTTGCCCAAGGCCCTTTCCTTCATGGTGGCAAGTTCCCCCAGATCCTGAGTGTGTCCAGAGATGCTGTCTGGAAGCCAGGAAATGGAGTAAAAAACCCTGGCAATTTACTTGATGTTCTATTTTACTGTGGCTAAGCTGGCACTCAAACCACAGTACAAAAGCCTTCCTGCTCTTCACTCCTCTTTCCACAGGCAGAGGACGCTCTCCCTGTGGCCATTGCCACCACCACCTCTGGTCCACACGGGGTTCTGCCAGCCACTGCTAATATTTACTGAAAGCCCAAGGGCTTTTCTGTCACCTTGCAGTAAATGCTGCCAGGCCTTTATCCTTCAGGGAAGTTGGCTTCCCTCTGGCCCAAGGCGAGTCCAGAAATGCTGTCCAAGAGCCAAGGCCTGGACTTGGGGACCCCAAAAGCCTGCTTGTTGCTCTACCCTGTTGTGGCCAAACTGGTACCTAGGGTGCAAGACAAAAATCACCTTTACTTCCCCTCTGCTTTCCTCAAACAGGGGTCTCTCACCATAGCCACTACAGCTGGGAATGTGCTGGGTCACCCCAAAGCCAGCACGTCTCAGAGCCCGAGACCCAGAGCATACTCCCTGGGTCTTGCCCCTGGTTATTCAGGGCCCAAGGGCTCTTCACTCAGCAAGTGATGAAGCCTGCCAGGACTGCTCCCTTAAGGCAGCAGTTTTCCTTTTGGGCCAGGGTATGTCTAGAAATGTCACCTGGGAGTTAGGGCCTGGAATCAGGACCTCACAATTCTGCCTGGTGCCCTAATCAGGACCTCACAATTCTGCCTGGTGCCCTATCCTACTGTGGCTTAGCTGGTATCCAAGATGTAAAACAAAGCCCTCTTTACTTTTTCCTCTCCTTTCCTCAAGAAAGGAATCACTTTCATAGCCGCAAGCTGTACTGCCTGAGGTTGGGGGAGGGGTAGCACAAGCATCCCCTTAGCCTCACCAGCTGGTATCTCCCCTGGTCACCTGCTACCCTAGTTCACTGTCTCTCAGCCCAGCCTAGCACTAGGAGTTGCCTAGGAATTATAGTCCTTCTTTCCTAGACTGCCTTTCAAGTTTACCTAGGGCCCCAGAGCACTTCAGCCCACATGGTGAGGCTTGCCAGGAAATTCAGTACCCATTGCTGGCATGGGCGATTCTCCTCTGGCTAGGGCTGGTTCAAATGCTCGTATGCATGGTCACTGGTGGAGCCCAGCACACCTTTATTCTCTGCTGTGACAGGGCAGCACTGAGTTCAATGTAAAGTCCCCTAGTCGCTATGCTCCTTCCCCAGAGGGCACAGACTCTCTGTGCTGCAGGTCTGCTGCGAGGGAGTGGGGGAGAGGTGGCATAGGTGATTCAAGACTGTCTCTTTGGCCCTTCTCAATGTCTTTGTAGGTGATATGAAGTTGAAACCAGGTACTGTGAGTGCTCACCTGATGTTTGTTTCTTGTGCTTTTCTGTGTGCAGACAGCTGTTAAAATTTGGTGTTTCAGTGAGGATTGGGGGGGAATGATAAATTTTATTTCTCTTTCCACGTTCTCTTTGTCTCTTTTACCCAGTTCTCACTCTTTGCCTTTAGTCGTCAATCCCAGAAGAGAATCTCTGAGTTTCTCTTCCTGTTTTTTCTTTTGTTCAAATGAGTACATACATATATATTACTTATTTCCCCTTCCTTCTTACCCCAAAGGCATAATCCTATAGATACTCTTTTATACTTTGCTAACCATAGAATTTTAAAGCTCAATCAGACTTTATTGTTGTGGTTTTGAGATTATTCTTTCCTCATTTTTTTTCTTTTAGACATTAGATCAGCAACAGTTCTTCACAGAGGAAGAACTAAAAGAATATGAAAATATTATTGCTTTACAAGAAAATGAACTTAAGAAGAAGGCAGATGAGCTTCAGAAACAAAAAGAAGAGCTACAACGTCAGCATGATCAACTGGAGGCTCAGAAGCTGGAATATCATCAGGTGGCATTTTGTCAAAAGATTATGGCATTAAAAAAGATTTTAGGTTCTTTGTTAAAAGCCTGTGTTTTTGTAACATATTTCATTGTACTATAGTACCCTGCTATTGCTATAGTATTTTAAATTTTAATACTTTAAAACTGCTTTGTGGAATATTAATCTAAATTTTATTTTATATTACTTTATTTTATTTTGAGACAGCCTGTCTCCCAGGCTGGAGTACAGTGCTGTGATCATAGTTCACTGCAGCCTCAAACTCCTGGGCTTAAGTGATCCTCCCACGTCAGCCTCCCCAGTAGCTAGGACTACAGGTGTATGCCAGTGTTCCTGGCTAATGTTAATATATTTTGTAGAGACCAGGTCTCACTATGTTGCTGAGGCTGGTCTCGAACTCCTGGCCTCAAGTGATCCTCCCACCTCGGCCTCTGAAATTGTTGGGACTACAGGCGTGAGCCACTGCACCTGGTCAAATCTAAATCTTATCATTTGAATATCTTTGTTTTAGAAAACAATTTTCAGTTACTTTGTTGTGCTTTGTCAAAGGTCACACATATGGTAGAAAATCAAGTTATACTTTTAACTTTCGTTTTCTATTCACCAGGTCATACAGCAGATGGAACAAAAAAAATTACAACAAGGAATTCCTCCATCAGGGCCAGCTGGAGAATTGAAGTTTGAGCCACGTATGTAATTTTGTTTGATTATTTATTTAGGAAAATAAATTATTGTATCAATTGAAGTCCACATTTATTACAAATATAATTTCAAGTCATGAAGATAGTATGTTATTTTCTGTGTGTTTTTTCTAGTTTTAGAGCAATTTAGATTACAGAAAAATGAAAATGCCTCCAAAAGTTTTATGCAGCAGCAAATTTTAAGTGCTGTATCATTTGTATGATTTGATAACCATATTTATGGTAAAATGATTTATTTCAACATTATTTGTAATTCTTTCTAATTATATTAATCTTACCAGAGAACATGTTTTTAAAAATTGTAATCTATGATTAGCTAAGCATATTTTTTAAAACAAGTATATTTGTATATGAAAGAACATTCAGAATAAAGGAAGATACTTTTAAAATAAGAACTTTTTTTTTTTTCCAACAGACATTTAAAGTCTGAAGTCCACCAGAGCTCGGAAGAAAGCTGTTAACTCAACATCTATTTCATCTTTTTAGCTCCCTTCCTTTTTCTCTGCTCAATAAATATTTTAAAAGCATATTTGAAATAAAGGAAGATACTTTTTAAATGAAAACACTTTTTTGGGGACACAGATATTAAAGGATTGAAGTCTATCAGAACCAGGAAGAAAACAAACTCACTGTCTGCTCTCTGCTCTCACATTCACACGTCTCTTCTATTTTTTTTTTTTTTTGTTCTCCTTTAGTGATTTAATTAAGTGGCTTTATGCCATAATTTAGTGAAACTATTAGGAGCTATTTAAGTGAGAAAACTCTGCCTCTTGCTTTTAAATTAGATTGCTCTCACTCATAAACGTAGATATTCTTTTATGGGTGCTTATCATTCTTTCTTTCAATAAATATTTCTTTGATATTAACAATTCTGAAAAGGCCATAGTATTTCCCTGTGTTTCCTGGTAACTTTTTTCTACTTTTGGCAACCTCAACTGCTAGAAATTCTTCACCTGAATCATTTTTGCTACCATTTCAGGTCATTTTTCATTCTTTTTTATTTTGCTCTATACTTTATCATTTAAGATTAGGTTCTGTTACATATAACAGAAAAACCAAAGATAACAGTGGTTTAAACTAAATAGGAGTTTTTTTCTTACATAAAAGAAGTCTAGAAGTAGGTGGTGTCCAGGTTCCTATCTTTCTGCTCTGCTATCCTCAGTGCATGATTTTTATCCTCAGGTTACCTCACTCTCACTGTTCAAGTTTGCTCCTGGAGGCAGTGGGGAAGGCAAGAAACTGGACTTTCTCTGCTTGAGTCAGCTTCCCTGAGGCCATTTTCCAGAACCAGCAGCACCTGAACTTATGTCTCGACCAGAACTGGGTCACACTGATGGCCACACCTAGCTGCTAGGGAGGCTGAGAAGTCCATGTGGCAATGTGACCAGATAAAGTTGGATTATTTTACTAAGGAAGAAGGGAAGAGGGAATGTTTGGTAGGCAACTTTCAATTTGAACCTCAGCCACCCTTGTTGGCTACCTAAATTTCTGTGTACCGTCTTCTTCCGAGATAGAAAACACTCACCCCTCTCTCCCTGAAGAGAAACCACTAGAAATCCAGCCCATTATTGCATATTAGATGAAAGACCATGCTATCTGGAGACAGTCCCCTCTGTCATGTTAGGGTGTGGCTCCTTGTGTTCTGGCCACCTACAAACTGAAAGACAAGTTTTCTGCCCCAAGAGTGCCAGATGCATAATGCAAAGGTGCAGGAAAACTCACTTTGAAGCTTTTTAGAGACAGGGTCTTACTGTGTTGTCTGGTCTAGAGTACAGTGGTATGATCATAGCTTACTGCAGCCTTGAACTCCTGGGCTCAAGTGATCTTCCACCTCAGTCTCCCTAGTAGCTAGGACTACAGGCACACGCCACGAACGCCTGGCTAAACATTTTTTTTGTAGAGATGAAGTATTGCTACGTTGCTCAGGCTGGTCTTAAACTCCTGGTCTCAAGCAATCTTCTCCCCTCAGCCTCCCAAAGCACTGGAATCACTTGGTGTGAGCCACCATGCCCAGGACCCCTAAAATTGATCTTTTAGAAAAGGGGAGAATTAGAAATACAGTGGCCACTGATCCATAGCAATTGGAAAGTACTGCTTGGCAAAAATAATTAAATCTCTCTGCTGTAGTTCATGAATATATTCCTTGATTTGCCCATCAGGCAACCCCTGATTCACCTTTCTGAGAGGAATTTCTTTATCTAATGTCCTCAGGGGGCCTTGGTTTTACTTTCTGGGTGGTTTTTATTGTACATTAATTTTCAGACACAGTCTGCATGGGCATTGGAAAGTATATCCTTCTTGGAGGCTGGGCAGCCTTAGCAGTTTATTTCCTATAATTGTGTCTGGGGGCAGGCTTGGGAATTAGAGTACAGATCTGTAACAGTATAGATCTGTTGCAAGCCAGGTTTGGGTTTTTGTTGTTGTTTTGTTCTGTTTCTTGGCCAAGTGGATTCCTAAAAATTTAGTAAGTTTCTGGTCTGTTGTCTTCAGTCATTTCCATGGAGAGTTTTAACCAAGGTAAAATACATTGTTTTTAACAAAGAACCTCATCATTTACTTGCTGGCCTCTGTGTGCTCTCCATCCTCTTTGTTCTCACAGGAATGGTACCTCCTTGAGATCCTTTGAAACTGTAGGCTTGCATGGAATGGCAATAGTCTTAATCTGGTCTCTTCCCCTAGGATGGCTCCTATTATTTGGCAGAAAATTCTAAGGGAACGTACTTGAAAAAGGTTGAGAAAGTTTTAGTAGCTCCCTCAGAGCCTTTACTTATAAATGTTTCACTTTGGAGTACAGTAGTACTTGACTTTTTCAATTCTTCAGGGCTCCAGATTTGGGTCTTGGTCAATTTATATGGTAGACAAAGAGCAATTCTCTCAGCAAAGCTATTTTCCCTTGCATCACTGCAGACGTGTTAACCTTAGTCCAAGTCACATATCTCTTTAGGGCTTTGCTGAAAAGAGGCAAGAAGCAGCCAACACATGCTAGCACTCTGAAGTTCTACCACCTTCGTCTCTGTGGCAGGAAGTCTCAACCTCATCTTGACCTCTGTTGGCAAAAGTCTCACTGCCCAAAGCCCTACCTCCTCAACTAAGCCAACCCCAGATTTAGGGCCTTTGACTTGCTGCGCCTTACTTCTAGCTGCCAAATTCTGTATAGGTCAAGATTCTTGGCTGTAGGCAATGAAATCTTCTTTAGGTATTAAACAGAAGGAATTGGTGAATGAGTATAGATAGGTCACAGAATCGATGGGAGGGCTGAGGAAACAGACCTAGGCTGAGCTTCTAGGAATTATGTCACAAGAGTAGGCTGCTGAAGGAGCTGCCGCTTTTAGAACAATCAAGAAGCTGCCTGCTGGATTAGGAAGCTGCCTGCTGGACTAGGAAGCTGTGAACAGTTGCCAGTTCCAGAGCCACACCACCTCTGCCATTCTTTATGCCAGCAAAAATAGATACATGTCTTCCTGCCTCTGTCCCCATGTTACTTGGTTCTAAGTAAAAGTCTCAAGTGAGTGAATCTGATGGACTGGACCAATCATATCTGAAGCCCTAGCTGCAAGGGAGGTTGGGAAATATAATATTCAACTTTCCTACCTCTGTGTGATAGGAATGCATGTTAAAAGCTACCCTAGGCTGGGCGTGGTGGCTCACGCCTGTAATCCCAGCACTTTGGGAAGCCAAGGTGGGTGGATCACCTGAGGTTAGGAGTTCAAGACCAGCCTGGCCAACATGGTGAAACCCCATCTCTACTAAAAATAGAAAAATTAGCTGGATGTGGTGGCACACACCTATAGTCCCAGCTACTCAAGAGGCTAAGGCAGGAGAATTGCTTGAGCCTGCGAGGTGGAGGTTGCAGTGATCTGAGATCACGCCACTACACTCCAGCCTGGGCCACAGAGCAAGACTCTATCTCAGAAAAAAAAAAAAAAGAAGGCTGCCCTAGCACCTCACAAGTTTACATTGTTTCACATAATAATTTTTAAACTCTTAGTCCTTATTTTATAGATTTTTAGATAATCATTGCATATTCCTCCAAACATACTTAAATAATAGATCCCAAAATTAAATAGCAGTTTAGGAAAGTTATTCTTATATACAGCTTTACAAAACCTACAAAAACCACTCAATGTAGTAATAGTGCTTGCTATGTTTTTTAAAGAAATGGAATAGAATCTCTATTGCTTAAATTATAAGCAATAGAATCTCTATCTATATTGCTTAAATTGTAAGCAATATAGAAAAATGGTTTGGAATATCCTTTTGTTGATGACTACTATCTGTAACATGAAACTGATAAGACATAGAGTAATTTCTTGAAATGCTTTTTTGGCTCAAGTAAATGATGGATATTAATGTAGAAATATTTCACAGTTTCCAGCAAACTAATGTAATTTATATTATTCAGAAAAGAATTACTAAGCCTAAAATTAGGGATTAAGGAATTATAATTTTTTTGAGTACTGGGCATTTATGAATGAATATTATTATTATTATTATTTGAGACAGAGTCTTACTCTGTCACCTAGGCTAGAGTGCAGTGGCGTGATCTCGGCTCACTGCCACCTGTGCCGCCTGGGTTCAAGCGATTCTCCGGCCTCAGCCTCCCGAGTAGCTGGGATTACAGGCACCTGCCACCGCGCCCGGCTACTTTTTGTATTTTTAGTAGAGACGGGCTTTCACCATATTGGTCAGGCTGGCCTTGAACTCCTGACCTCGTGATCCACCCACCTCGGCCTCCCAAAGTGCTGGGATTACAGGCATAAGCCACTGCGCCCGGCCTATTATTTCTAAGAAAGTTGCAAACAGTATTCTTTTCAGTTCTGTTAGAAAGTATTGGTCTTGTGTTTATACCATTCTTCTTCATATTTCTTTAGTTATTAAATGTCTTTGGTTTAGCTGAGTTAGTGAAATTTATTAGTAATTTGAAGTTTTGTTTCACATATGAATTTTCATGAAGCATGTGCACTTTATAATATACTTAAGTAGAGGCTGAGCATTCCTTATCCACAGTGCTTGGAACCTGAAGTGTTTTGGATTTTGGATTTTTTTTGTGGCTGGAATTACAGGCGTGAGTCACTACACCCAGCTAATTTTTGTATTTTTAGTAGAGTCAGGGTTTCACTATGTTGGCCAGGCTGGTCTCAAACTCCTAACCTCAAGTGATGTGCCTGCCTTGGCCTCCCAAAGTGCTGGGATTACAGGCGTGAGCCACCACGCCCAGCCTGCATTATACTTTTATTGGTTGAGCATCCCAAATCTAAAAATTAGACATCTGAAATGAGCATTTCCTTTGAGCATCATGCTGGCACTCAAAAAGTTTTGGATTTTGGAGCATTTTGGGTTTCAGAATTTTGAATTTGAGAATCTCAAACTGTATATATAATTAAAATTAGATTTTGAAGGATTAGTCTCTAGAATATTTAACTCTTACTAAAGACAACTACAATTTAGAAGTAGTGGTAAAAAAAATACTCTGAGACATAGATACATGTTTTTTATGCCAAGATTTGTTTACAACAGCATTATTTTATGTACGTTGAACAGAATAGTATTAC